CTGAATGCACACTATCCTATAATCTTGTAATAGTAAACAAATACTATCGAAATGTGAATAATATTTGGTTACTTTATAAAGAAATATCTCCTTATTTTAAGAAAAAATTTCTTTTGTAAAGATTACAATTTGATACCAATAGATAATATAATTCTATTTGATGGGTCTATTGAAATCAATAAAAATATAAAACAGCCGAGAAAATATATAAATATAATATAGAAGCTTTAGAGTTAGTAGAACAAAGATTGGCTATATGATATGTAATTTTGGTAGATCTGATGTTAACATTTATCTTTTCGTATTATTAGTTAAAATTTGTTTCAGTGGAAAAGTACTTGAGAATTTGTGTTAGAAAATATTATGTAAACTTAAAATTAATTTTACATTATATAATTCAGCCAATGATATTGTGAATCCAAATGTTGGGTTGTAAAAAAATTATTGCCTTCAACTTTTAGTGGGACATAAATGAGAATATTAAGAAGAATTTTAACCTATAGAGGATGAAATTAAGAGATGATTTTATTAGAAGAAACATTGGAGTGACATTTTATTGAATATATATGATTACTCAAAATAAAATTGAGTTGTCTAAACATGTGTAACAATGGGTAGAAGAATGTGTTTGTGAGACGAGTTTATAAAATTAGTGTAGGAATGTTATTTTATTAGAAGAAACGTTGGAATGCAATCTATTGAATATATGGATTGTTTGAACATGTGTAATTAATGATGGGTATAAAATGTGTTTGTTAGCGGAGTTGATAAAATTAGTTTCGCGAGGTTAGGAAGGAATTTGTGTAAACCTAAGATGACATTAATTGGAATTTTTTAAAATATTTTGTGAAGAATATGTAATGCATCAGATAACTTTCAACAGGTGTGAATGAAAAATTAGAATTTTTCAGGCTGATATCTACTAGTTAGGATACGGCTTATCATGATGATAATGGATCTCTTCATGCATGTCAATGACACAAAATGACACACACAATACTGCATGATGCAGTAGGACACATCAAATTGACGCACGCTTTTTGCAATGTGGTGGGCATTCTTGCATTACCCTCATTATGCATGCTACGTATGTTAGGGATCCTCTTCGATGTTATTTAAGCTCGCTTATGATTACTATGTATAATGGCGTAGTGCTGAAATTAATTGTCTATGCTTAACCTTTTCCTTGAAATGGCTGCCCTCTTTTCTCTCATAGCTTTTGCATCAATCATGTATTTCCCTTGCTTTTTCGTCATCCATCTTGATTATTACTCTGGTGCTCAGAAGCTCCATATTGAAGGAGGAAATAAAAATCATAGTAACGAACGGATCTGGGAGAATAAGGAGAACAAGAAGGAATGTAGCTGGAAGAAGGAGAACAGGAAGCGTTCAAGGCAGCAGGATAAGCATGAATATTCTGTGCACGAGAAAAAGAAGCTACGGCGTGATCAAGGGAGCGACTTTTTCGACAGCTTCCGAGGCTGGAAGAAGGATTCATCCGACCCGCGGGACAGAAGCAGTGTAACCGAGGAACAAGGGCGTCCATCTTCTGTATCCAATCCATGCAACTCTTCGGAGAGTACTCAGAATACTAGCATGACAAGTAAGATTCTAGCTGCTGACAATAAGAGGAAAGATCAAGGTATTTTAATTTCTTATATTACTTTTGTGAGCATATTTCTTCCTTGCTTTAGCTGTATTATTATGTTCAGAATTCTTCCTGCTATGCTTTTTTAAATATTATGATTTTGCTTTTGTCTACCTTTATATTTGGTAGTACATTTAGACTATTCTAATCTAATATGTTTTTACTGGTGTCAATTTTTTCTTACTAAACTTAATTTTGACTGTAACATACTCTTGATCAAAACTAGTGCATGAGCTTGGACCCATCTAGCTTAATTAAAAGTTGAATTTGGGTGGTTTGCTGGTATTGACAGTTACAATTAACCCAATCTGACTTAGTTCAGTTATAAATTATTTGAGCTTGAAGTTTTGAAGAATATGTGAAACCTGATTTAAGTACAAAAATTGAAAAGTTACAGGAAACAGAGAATATAACACAAAAAACACATAATTTTACATTTTACGTAGGCTCGTCTTATTGAAGAAGGCCCACTTCTTATTGCCCCCATTGTAGATTTCATTATTTTTTTGTTTTATATTTGTAGACAATCATCATTCAATATTTTCACCATTGATACAAATATCTAGATGTTGCCTCTTTCTTTATAAACAAAAATTTAGGGCAGCCAAAAAATATAATAAAATTTCAAAACAATCGTTGAATAAACCTCACAAATATTAGACCCCTCTATCAAGTATACATATCGTGTTTTTTTTTTTTTTAACCTAGGGTGATAATTTGGTTTCACAACTTAATAGCTTTGGCTTAGCATAAGTTGTGGGAGTTGTGCTTCAAAATTAAGGTGAATCTTGAAAATTATTGTTTAATAGCAATCTGATGGCATATCTTTTTGGGTATTTAAAAAAAAAAAAAAACCTTATCATGGTGTTATCTCACATATTAGGGTGGTATAGTAGTCACATTTCAAGGTAGGATCATATACTGGTAAATGCATATTTTTTTAAAATTGATCTACAATTAAAAATGTTAAACTTCTATCCTTACATGGAGGAAACATGTTATTGATTCATGTTCTTATAAACAGGCCTGGTTCTACGCATTCAGCTACCTTTAATGAAGCGCAGAGCGCCACTGACTTACAATACAAGCACAGAGCCCTGCAATTCTCGTGATGCAGCAGCTTCGACCAACATTAGTAGACCAAGTTCAGCTGCAATAACTTCCTGTTTGAAAGAGAAAACTTCGGCGAGGCAAAAGGAGTTGCACTCAACACCTGCAAATGAGGACCCTTGTTTCTCTTGTCGGGTTTCAGAAGCCCCCATGATTGAAGTAACCGCTGCTGCTGCTAACTTTTCTAGTACTTGTGATGGCGACAGCGGCCGCCGGAGCCATTGCCGCCGCCGCCGCCGTCTAGAGATTGAGGCCGCCGCCGTCTAAAAATGGAGAAATCCTTCAGTAATTTGGTGTTGAAGTGGAATCCTTCATCGTTACCGTCATATGACCCAAATCCTGGCTGTCAAGATTGGCTGTTTGCGCCAGCGAGGCAGTCATCTCGTGTCAATCAAAGTGTCATAAGCTGCAAAGCCAAGCCTGTTCGTAAAGCTGTTTTAGTCTCTACTAGTTCTATCCAACCGCTCGCCTGCTATTTGCCTGAGTTGGATATTTATCAGTTGCCTTATGTTGTTCCATTTTGAAGTTTTAGTTAAGATGTGGAAACACAAGGCTGCTTTTTTTAAAAAAATATTTAATAAAGGAAATGTAATATTCATTATGTAGGACATGTATATATATTGAAAAAAACGGTTAGTGGTAGTTCTTATATTGAATAAATTGATTTTACATGTATGTTTACCAATTATCATAGTCAATTTATCTATATCATTGAATTCCTCTTCGGAAGCATTTGGTTTTGAAATTTTTAAAGAGAATAAGAAGTAGCATGCTGAGGACATCCTTTTGGATTTTTGTGAAGGTTTTGTCGTTCGCTGCGTCCCCCTCTTTTAACAAACAGATGTGGAAACACAAGGCTGCTTTTTTTAAAAAATATTTAATAAAGGAAATGTAATATTCATTATGTAGGACATGTATATATATTGAAAAAAAAACGGTTAGTGGTAGTTCTTATATTGAATAAATTGATTTTACATGTATGTTTACCAATTATCATAGTCAATTTATCTATATCATTGAATTCCTCTTCGGAAGCATTTGGTTTTGAAATTTTTAAAGAGAATAAGAAGTAGCATGCTGAGGACATCCTTTTGGATTTTTGTGAAGGTTTTGTCGTTCGCTGCGTCCCCCTCTTTTAACAAACATAGAACCTGCTGTCCATTTTTATATCCATGCAATTATTTTCCTGTAAAGGTGTCGTCGTGTGTGTGTGTGTGTGTGTGTGTGTGTGTCATTTTATTTATGCATGAGGTGTATTTTATTTGTTAGAAAGTTAAAATAGTGATTTTTTTAATTTGATACCAGATTTAAATATTATAAATGTAAAAAGGTAAAATTTAGGGGTTAAGATATGGAAATATATAGGAATTGGATGGTATGTATGTAAATGCAATTTGTAGAAAAAATTTGCGTGTGATAGATGTACGCAGCGCTGCGTGCGATATTGGAGTATACCAAGGCTATAAGGGGGTTACATCCACGGTATAAGCCCTTTTAACCTCCGTGTAACTTCTCTGTAACTTACGTGTAACCTCTTAATATATGATAACAGAAGCGCGAAACTTATTTTAGGGTACAGATAGGTTACAGAAAGTTACAGGGAGGTTACAAGGGGTTATATCACGGATGTAACCTCCTTGTACCCTTGGTATAACCTCAATATCGCACGCAGCGCTGCGTACGTCTTGTAGAAAAAATTTGCGTGCGATAGACGTACGCAGCGCTGCGTGCGATATTAGAGTATACCAAGGGTATAAGGGGGTTATATCCACGGTATAAACCCTTGTAACTTCCGTGTAACCTCCCTGTAACTTACGTGTAATCTCTTAATATATGATAATAGAAGCGCGAAACTTATTTTAGGATACAGATAGGTTACAGGAAGTTACAGGGAGGTTACAAGGGGTTATATCACGGATGTAACCTCCTTGTACCCTCGATATAACCCCAATGTCGCCCGCAGCGCTGCGTACGGTATCTCAGTAAGATGCCAGATTGTTAACCAGTTCGCGGTAAAAGTTCATCTATTTGGTATTAAACATGAAGTTAGATGATACATAAATCAACTAAAAGTTATCATCGCCCTAGCTGCTGATTTGAACATGGCATCGGGTTAAATTTTGACAAGAACAATCTTCAAAATCGTTATTATTACTACTATATGAGAATGAAATAATTGATTGATTTTTGTAGATGTTTATTTATGATTCTATGCACAAGTAAAAAAGAAAAAATACTCCACAAACAAAACATTTTTTCAGGCAACCTCTATTAACAGCGAATGTGCACAGTACTAAGCAAAGAGAAGTGGTGGTAGAGGTAATGAAAAAAGAAAAAGGAGACTTTCTTTTTTCTTTATCTATATACAAATTACTCTCAATTGCTCTCATCTATACTATGATTGCCACAAGCCTTTCATTTCCCATTATTTGCTGTACCAAAAAAAAAGGGGGGGAAAGAAGCTGCTCAAATCTTGTGAAGAGAGTCCCATCTATTCTGAAAATATTCATCCAACGAGTAAATGTTGTGCTCAAAGCTCATTAACGAAGCATCATCATCCACATCAAGCAGCGCAAGCCCTATATGCGACCCAATGCTTGAATCTGGATATGCCTCTTCTTCTTGCCAATCTTGCTCCCCCACGTTGTTATTTACTTCATCACAACTCATCCATGGCTTCATCATCTCTTCTTCCCCTCGCAGCAGTTCAAAAACCTGCAGCAGCATTCATTCACGTTTATATGTTCCCAACTTCAAAATCATCTTCAATAAGTGCTTAAAAAACGATTTTAACTTGTAGAAGATCCATGCCTGACGCATATGAGGTCGGCGACAAGCTGCCCTCCTTATGCACATTGCTGCAGCCATTGCCATTCTTTTCATCTGAGACTCCTCATATTTTCCATCCAGATTTGGATCTATTATCTCCTTAATATCTCCTCTTTGCAGTATTGGTGTGGCCTAATAAGAATATAAAGCATAAAATTATATTCCATTTGAATCATTCACATTTTCAAATAAGTGCCATTAATGAGGGTTGGAATAGTCCTCCATCTAAAGAAAAGAGACTAAATTGACACTTTTCTTGATTCGGTAAATAAAATCTCGTTCCTACAAAGAGTTAGGGGACCATTTTACACCATTTCTAAGTTACATTCAACAATTTGATGCTGTAATGATTATTCAGAGGAGGAAAAAAAAAAGGAAAAACTTCTTACCCACATGACCAAACTCTCCTGTTCCCTCGGACTCTCATCATTGATTGGTCTTCTTCCTGTGAGCAGCTCAAGTAAAACCACACCAAAGGCATATACATCAATCTTGGTGCTGACTTTTCCATACATAAAGTACTCAGGAGCTAAATATCTGACAAATTAACTCATCTTCAGAACATTAATAACAAACAATCACATTTAAAGAGGTAAATTTAAATCAGAATTTCAATTGCAGAATCCAACATACCCAAATGTTCCAACAACATCACTATGAGTTAGGTATGGGGCATTTGTAGGAGCCCATATGGCTAAGCCGAAATCTGATAACTGTCGTAAAAATAAAAATTAAGAGAAAAGAAATCATGTCAAGTATATGTTTGTTATGTTCAAGATGTTGTATTTATAATATAATCAAAATCAACTTATTGCCACAGAAGGGTTTTAATCTTTCTGAAGTATCTCACCTGTGGCTTCCATTCATCGGATAAGAGAATGTTAGAAGACTTAACATCTCGATGAATCACAGGACGCAAACAGCCGTCATGTAGATAGCTCAGCGCTTCGGCAACACCTATTGCCACCTTAAACCTCTTATCCCAGTTCAGTGCAGCCTTTGCTCTTTTATCTGTCCAATTCAACATAAAACAATAATATTTCAGAATTGGCGGCTTGAATTATGTTTTATGCTTTTGATATGAAGTTAATAAAAATTTTGGTTTTGTAAAATGCAAAATCTCTCAGAACAGAAAGTTTTTAGTATCACACCATGAAGATTTTCTTCCAGATTGCCTCTGGAGAAGTAAGAATATACTGAGATAAGATTGTTATCTTCAACACAGATACCAATCAACGGCACGACCCGATCATGCCAAAGCCTGGTGACAATATCTACCTCGAGAAGAAAGTCTCTTGATGATTCTTCATTTAATTTTGATAATTTTATAGCCACTTGCTGACCATCAGAAAGGCAACCCTTATATACTCGACTATTTCCTCCTTTACCAATCAGATTTTCTGTTCATGAAAAAAAGATATAATCAATATTGCTGATTTTGTAAAATATATTGCAAATAGACATTTTTTTTTTGTAGCAGAAACAAACCTGGTGAGAAGTAATTAGTGGAATTCTGCAGCTCCTCATACTGAAAAAATTTGCAGCAGGAAGAATTAATTTGCAGAATTATCTCCAGCTCCTTAAGTAGATAAAACTGTGAGTGAGTAGAAGCCAAAGATCTATCAGGGAGCTTCATGACCCAATGTATCACAGACATTTTACGAGCTTCGCCTCCCTTCAAAGCCTCAATATTTGCTGCAACAGATCTGCGCAGAAGCGGCCAACCGAGCTTCTGTTCTGGCAACTTTCTAACCAGTGCTGAAATTGAACTTTTATTTCTTTCTCTCATCGTCCCAAGATCAAGAAGACAATGATCCTTAGAGTCATTCTTGGTCTGATTCAAAATTCTGTATTTTGTGTTGTGTAATTTTGGGTTCTTCAAACCTGATTTGGATTGGGAAATTGGAGCAATGAATTCAGTATCCATGCCAACACTAGGATGCAAGAAATTCCGGAGATTTGGTATTTTCTGTCCTCCTGTCATCAAGAAGTTGATAAAAATTCAATTTTTAGGCAAAAGATAGAACTTTTATCAGTCAATAATTCGATACCCAAAAGTAGCTTAGTGGCCGCCGCCCTTTCGAAGATTATTTTCCCTTTGTGAACTGCAATCAGAGCAATGGTGGAAGGCAGTTTCTTGGCACAATACTTGGCTAGAGAAGCAAACCCTCTGGAAAAAAATTTAAAAAAATAAATAAATATACTAATAGACAAAATTTTACAAAATAGGCTTCTAAATTTCCTAACTACTAACACTAAAGAGAAGTTCTTGTTTGCTCCAACAACCACAGCCTTAGCTGAACAAATCTCAGCTTCTCTCACCAAAGCTTTCTTGATTGAGTTTCCCCGGGCAACCCGGCCTGCAAGAATGATCTGAAGCATGCAAAAACCAATTAAAGATTTTTTTTTTTTCTAGTCTCAGCATAGTTATCACTATCACTCAACATGGTTGCATTCACTAAGATATTTTTTACCTTCTTCTTTGTGCAGAGATCCTCATGCTCAGTCAAGCAGTCATCCAAGAACTTAATTAAAGAAGGTTTTGGAGCTCTGCTAAGATCTGATATAAGAAAACATGACATATAAACATGATACTGAACAGCATTTGATGAGTTTGACACAAAATTTTCAAAAGTGATTCATTTATTTCATACCTTGATTCCTGCAAACATTAACAGCCACCAAGCGATCGCCTTCTTCAGCCAGATTTGTGATCGCCCATCCGAGCAATTCTCTCCCATCACCATCAATTTGGACTCCAACAACAATAGATTTTTCTTCCCCCCTTCCCTCATCGTCAACTTTACTCCAAGCTACCATTTCTTTCCCCTGTAAAAGACTTCAGTTCTTGACATGAACAACAAGGCGAAGATCAAATCAGCAGGTGCAGTTACTAAATAGAAGCACAAGCCGTAGAGGCTCACAGCAGAAGAATCTGAAACAAAAGCTACAGGTGAAATGAAACAGAGTAGCAGAAACCCACCTAAACTCTCGTTCGTTTGTCACATTCCGGCATGACATTAGAAAATTAAGGAAATGGGATCGCCGTTGGTGAAATCATAAGCCCAACTGCTCCCAACTTTAATATCAAAATCAAATTTTTATGACTGGGAGAGAACAGAAAAAGGAAGATTTGTTGTTGTGGTGGCGCCTTGATGACGGCTGGGACAAGTTAAGACGGAGTTTTCTATTACCAGAAGGGAAAATGAGTGCAGAATATTGTTAGTTTGGAGAAGACGAGCACTAAAGAAAGCCAAAAGACTCAAGTCGAAGAGAGAGAGAGAGAGAGAGAGAGATGGAAACTGCAAGCCTCTTTTTCGCGGGAACTCCATAATTCCTGGTCGCCGAATCTCCACCGACACTTTCGCCCAAGGACTTGCCAACGGTATAAATTATGACATTTACAAACATACCACCAAGTTTCTATCTATTTACACATCTACCACCTAAGCTTTCATATTTACTTACTAATCAGACAAGTCATACAATTACTAACTTTTAAATATATATCCAATCTCTTACATAATAGAAAACATTCGAGTGCTAATGCGTAATTACATTAGAATGTGTGGTATGTTTGTAAATTTCTCTCAAAATTATAACAAAATTAATGAATAAAAAGTTATTAGTTTCATGTATTATAAGAAAATAGAACCTATATCTAGGGCGGTTAAAAAAACTCATTATTCGCGAACAGTTCGTGTTCTGTTCATCAATGAGTTCATGTTTGATTCATTCGATAAGCAAATGAGATGAGTGTGAACAAATTTTTTTCGTCTGGTTAGTTAAACTAATCAAACATGAACAGTGATGTATTTGTTCGTGTTCGTATCATTATTATTCAAAATATAAAATAATTTAAAATAATGCATCTACCACCTAAGCTTTCATGTTTACATACTCATCGTCAAGTCATACAATTACTAACTTTTTAAATATATATCCAATCTCTTACACAATAGAAAACATTCGAGTGCTAATGCGTAATTACATTAGAATTTGTGGTATGTTTGTAAATTTCTCTCAAAATTATAACAAAATTACTAATAAAAAGTTATTAGTTTATAAGAAAATAGAACCTATATCTAGGGCGGTTAAAAAAACTGATTATTCGTGAATAGTTCGTGTTTTGTTTGTCAGTGAGTTCGTGTTTGATTCATTCGATAAGCAAATGAGATGAACGTGAACAAATTTTTTTCGTCCGGTTAGTTAAACGAACCAAACATGAACAGTGATGTATTCGTTCGTGTTCGTACCATTATTATTCAAAATATAAAATAATTTAAAATAATTATATATAAAAAATTTAAGATATTTTAAAAATAATTATTTATTATAAAAATTTATCATATTTTAAATAATTAAATCCTATAAATTATAATATATAATAAATTATTAATAACAATAATAATATATTAGTATTAGTTATATTAATATAAATAGTATAATAGTTTAATTAATATAAATATTATAATATTTTAACAATTCAAATATGCAAACAAATCTTAATATTTTCGAACAATTCGAACAATTCGAACATTTCGAACAAATCAAATAATTCGAATAATTCAAAAAATTTAAACAATTTGAACCATTTAGATAATTCGAACAATTCAAACTTATTTCAAACAAATCGAACCGAACACGAACAACACCTTCAACGAATAATTTCGAATACAAGCCTATTTCAAACACAATTAATTTCAAGCGAGCCAAACACGAACACGAACTCTATTCGTCCGTGTTTGATTCGTTTACACCCCTAGGTGTCTATCTTTAGAAAATCATTTAGAATGTAACATGCTTAGACACTCGCTACATTTTGTTAGCCACATTTTAGGTGAGAAGAACAATTAAGCGTTGTGAGAGGATTCAGCACATGCTCAGATGAAAATGAATCAACATGTGATGACAGCATAAGTTTTTAAGTGGAAAACACGTAAAGGCAAAAAACCACGGGGCCAGACACGGTTATAAAAATTCGACTATAAACTAGCTAGATTCGACATCCATTTGATCTTTCAAATGCCTCTGGAAATCTTGCAATAACGGTTTAATGATTTGATTCCGGCTTGATCTGACTCAGACTGGCCTAGTTTTTATATCATTGGATTTGTTTCATCGAGTCAATCAGTTTGACTATAAGTTTGCTGGAATCGGAGCTCTAGATGACTTTTTATCAAGATTTGAATATTTTTTGCTCAAACTATTATCTCGAGATTCGTACTGGATGATGAAAATTTATTGGTGTCATATATATATATATATATATATATATATATATTCAATCTATATTAATAATCTGAATCAAGCTGACCTTTTAGAGTAGTATACGGTACAAAATAAATGCATTTGATTTAAAGAGAACGGAATGTAGTTAAAAAGTAACTATTTTTCTACTATTTGTAAATCTTTAATAATAAAAATAAAGTTTGATATATATATATATTTATTTATTATTAAAGATTTACAAATAGTAGAAAAATATTTTGAAAGAATATTTAATAAAGCATTATTTTATAAAATTAAAGGATTTGTTATTATTAATTATTTATTTATCATTTAATTGGTGGGGAGGTTTTGTCATGGGGAATGCCGGTCCCTTCTGGTTTTAGGACAGAGAGATTGCTTAGCCATGGTGCAGTGAAGGCTATTGCTTGCAGAGATAAAAGCAGTTAAATAATAATAATAATAATAATAATAATAATAATAATAATAATTAAGGGTTTGTTGGGCTTGGTCGGTTGACCTTTTCAGTATTTTAGGTCTCTTTCGGTATATATATTTATTTTTCTATAATTTAATTTAAAATGTAAATAAATATTTGTTTTGGTAAATAATTCTATCTGCTCATTGCTCCATTGCAGCTGCAGAATAATTTATTGCATGTTACATGTAAGCATATTGTCGGTTGTCGGGAATATTATGAACAAAAATGTGTTCCATATACAAAATCATTTTGAATAATTTGCAAGGTTTCGCATCTTTATCTTATTAGATAATAGTCAATATCTTGTAAAATTTAGGGATATTTTTCTAAAATATTTTGATTTCTTTAATTACATATTTCAAATTATCTTTCAAGTAGTTATTTGGTCCGCTGCATTAGTAGTGTATGATAAACCGGATACGTGGATATTATAGTGTTTAGTATTGTTTTTGTATCGAAATAAAATAAAAGAGCAATTTTTGACGAAGCGAAAAATAGAACAAGAAAATTCACACAAAAAAAATAAGGTGGAACACACAGATTTACGTGGTTCGACAAATTGCCTACGTTTACGGAGTTGCATAATATTTTACTACTTGAGGAATATATACCAGTCGATCACAACGACAATTACAGGAGAAAGTATCTTACTATCTCACTATCTCTTCTTCTCTCTCTGTTCTTCTCTCTCTACACCGAGATACACCAAAGAAGCTCTGCATCGAGATACACCGAAGAAGATAAACTCACAAGAGAAATAAATTCAATTTATCTTCTGTCACAAGCCACCAAGAAGAAGTCAAAAGAGAAGAATCTTCTTCTTCTTCCTTCTGCCACAAGAAACTGCTGCTTGCATTTTCTTCCTCTATCCTGAGGAAGCACGAAGAAGAACATAAAAAAAAAAAAAAATCGTGACTTATCTAGCTAAAGGAGAGTCGTGAGACACCTTTTATCACGAACAAGAGGTCACTTCACAACGAAGATTTTGATGAAAAATTGATGTATCTTTATTTTTCCTTCAACTTTCGTTAATGCATCACTTTCACTAGTTGATGAGAAATTGATGCCTTAATAAAAATTAGAAGAGGTTTTGATGGTAATAATGCAAAATCAAAGTTTTGGTGATAAATATGTAAATACATAAAAAATGGGAGGTATATAGGTAAGTGCCCCAAAAATTAAATGAAGGGTAATAAATATGAAACTCGTCCAAATACTAATAAAGTTGGTAGATGTCTTGGGCCACCATAAATTCATGACATCAACGGTTAGTTAATTAGATTTAATGTGCGAGCCGAGCAATTATAACAACCGAAAGGCAAATATGAAAAACATTTTATATTAAAGAAAATTGATTCGTAAAATATTTGATATTTTTATCATTTCTTTTATTATTGAACAATTTTTCATCTGAAAAATATTCATTAATTCAAAATAAAGTGATTTTTTTAATTCAAGCCTGGACAAATGATCAGTAATTTGATTTTCAATCATCTTTCGATCTACTATTTCAAAATCAAATTCTTGCAAAAGAAGAATACATCTTATAAGTCTAGGTTTAGCATAGTCTTTTTCATTAAGTACTTAATAGCAGAATGATCTGTATGAACTACATAATGAGTTTTAATTTTTATTATTGAATATTTTCAAAGGTCATGAAGCATCCATCATTTAAATGAGAGAAAAAAAATATATTTTTTAAAACTAATTACTGCTTCATTATGGTAGATATAATTAAAATATAATAGCAAAAGGGACATTTATTAATTTAATAGTACTACAGAGTACATAACTTACAAGATAATATCTCGCAATTCTATTTTAATTTTCTAATACGGTATTTTGCATCATTAGTAAAGATTTGATTTTTATGAAAATGAAAATTGAGACTTGATGGCCTGGAATCTGAGATGCGCTAATCCTTGGGAAATTACGTTGTATAATAATATTCTAGCTAACTTAAATTAGATAAAAATATTTGTTTTTTTTTATTATTTTAGATTTATTTTTTAAGAAAATATTTTTTTATTAACTATTCATGAAATAATTACATTTCGATTAAGTTTAGAAAATGGGTATTTACATGCATTATGTTTCAAGCCCGGATCAACCACTTCGGCCAATGAATTCGATTTCTGGGAATAAAATAAAAAGAATAATTTAAGAATTATCGTGATTTGGTATTTATGTGTGTGTATTAAAGGAATGGTAGAGGCTATGAGATGAGCTCTAAACATCCCTAGTTGAGCTAAATATTCGAGTATTATATCCCACACACGGGGGGATTCGAAACCGTGATCTGAGGAGACTTACGATCTTCAAAGAGGTTGCTCTACGTCCTAATTACTATGATTTAATTTTAATTTTTAATAAAATCGTGCCCTATTGAAGAGAAAGAAATAGATATTTGAAATATTCTGAACAGTGGATCGTCAGTCCTAATAATTTTTCAGACTAATGACTTATTAAAAATTTTTATCTTTATATCATATACTACTTTTAATAATTGAGGATGCACAGGCGTGCACACACACACTTCATGTCTAAATTAAAAGTTGACTTGGATGTCACTGAAAGGAGTATATTTTCTTTTAATATGGCCTCATTATAAACTAATTTGAGTAGTTTCATTAAACTAATATTATCAAAAATTTGATCTTTTTACCCCTCCTCAAATATCAAATTTGTCCCTCCTGAAATATCACTTTCCTATTCGTTGTCATAACGGCTCCCACGTTCAACCTAGGGAGACAGTTTGTCCCCCTTAAAAAAGATGCTTGTTTCGTCCCTCGAGAATAGTCATAAGAAATTCTTAACTTTTCCTAGGCCGTGATCTCCTGGTCCTCAACCTAAGGTTAATTGACTTTATTCTTTAATTAGCAGAGTTAGATTTTGGAAAAATCTTCTCCAAAGTTGTTCGTAGAGTTTAACTACTAAACTGAGTGGGGCACAAAAATTTAACACATTTTTCGTTTACTCTATATAAGCTTGCTCATGAGAGGTAGGTTCCTTGAATTTATATTGAAGAAGTAAAATAATAATAATAATAATAATAATAATAAACATAGATGACTTTATGTTGTTGTTTGGCTTAACTCCTTGATGAATTACATAGTTGACTTTATGTTGTTGTTTGGCTTAACTCCTTGATGAATTATCTTCTCTTGGACAAACTAATTTCATGAAGATGCTTTTAGGAAAACTTTTTCAGGAGAACAATTTTTATGGTCGATTAGAGCTTCTTGGGCCGACTGGAACATGGTATGGCTAAACAGAGCTTCGTCGAGTCGAGTGAAACCTAGCCGGGCATGTAGGACGTAGCTTGGCTGAGTGGAACATGTCTTAGCAGAGTGGAACCTGGTCGGGCTGAACGGAGTTAGGCCAAGCCGAACGGAGCTTTGTCGGACCAAAAGGAGCTGGCCAGGGCGAGCCGAGTGGAACCTGGTCAGGTCGAACGAAGCTTGGCTTGACCGAAAGGAGCTAGCGAGGCTGGGTCGAGTGGAACTTGATCAGGTTGATTGTATCCCGGACTGGTTAAAGTGAAACGTAGTCGAGTCGAGAGAAAACTGGTTGGGCCAAACGGAGCTTAGTTAGACCGACAGGAGCTAGTCGGGCTTGAGTTTGGCAGACTATTTGGACAATTCGGCGCCTTAAACTCCGAAAGAATATTTCCTAAACTTCAACCTTTACATGCAGTTCCCATAGGTAAGAAAAGGAGCATTTCACGTTTTAGAAGTTAAAATGACGTAATTATCTTTTGGGATATAAAAGATTTTGGTGGTATAAATGTAAAACCTAAAGTAGAGGTGTTAGATATGTACAAAAATGTAGCTTGTATGTATGTAAATGCGCAGAAATAAAAAATACTAATTTTGCCAGAGAACCACTACTAATGGAAACTAAAAGGAAATCATTTCAGTCATTGTCTAATTTTGTTTGATCTCATATATCTAGCCTTTAAATCTTAAAAGGGATCTTCTCTTCCCTTGCGCTATTTCGACCTGTAATTTTAAGCCGTTAAACTGCTTTGCTTAGGCTCAATTGATTTAATTTTAAAGAATCCCGTGGGAAATTTAATTCCAATAAAAAAAGGGTTACAGGGTTTGTGATCAACAGTTTCACTATAAATCAACCACCCAACTCACAGAAAGAAATAAAAACCTAGAAAACCGTCAGTCACTAAGTACAACTGATGCAAAAAAGTCTAAAAAATACTATCACATCGAATATAAAAAGTTTCTAAACAATCACCATGAATAAGAATAGAAAGTTTCATAGGAAATTTTGTTCCAATAAAAATAAGTTAGAGGGTTTGTGATCAACAATTTCACTATAAATCAACCACCCAACTCACACAAAGAAATAAAAATCTAGGAAACTGTCAGTCACTAAGTACAACTCATGCAAAAAAATCTAAAAAATACTATCACATCGAATATAAAAAGTTTTTAAACAATCACCATGAATAAGAATAGAAAGTTCATGAGGTACTCGAACCGAAAATATGAAGTCTTGTTTCTCCAACCCACGCTTAGAAGCCCTATTTGCACAGTGGTTTCATTCTCGATATGTAAATAGTCAATTAACCTGCACAATCTTAACGATAGCAAATATTTTTTTTCATTTGAATGATAAGACTCCAAGGATACGTTTTCTTCTTAGTGCAACAGTTCCAAAGTTCCAAAGAATACATCTCAATATCAATCAAATGCCAACAACAAATAACAGCTAAAGTTAATGCAACTATAATGGCGCTCCACCAATTACAGCAAAAAATTTATTCCAACTTCCATAAATATTAATTTTAAGAAAGTCACACAAAGTTTTATTCGAGCGAATTAAATTAGTAATAGGCTTGCAATAAGAAGAAATATCTATATTACATAGCTTTTTTAAAATTACCCAAAACGAAGTATATTATAAATAAAATTAGTAATAAAGATAAAGCAAGAATGAGTAGAAATGAAATTGTCATTATGTTCAGATTTATTCCTAGCAAATCTAAGGTACCAACAAACAATAATAGGAATAGAGGTAAGAAAAATATTCTCACCAACATATCTCCAAAAATAATAAGAACAGAGGCTTGTCAACTTTAATTGAATTTCATTACATCTCAATATATTAATTAAGTAAATATTAATCTGAAGTAACTAACTTTTAAATTGAAGTGATTGTATATTGATTTATGGAACATTTACATACATAGCTCACAACTTCCCTTGATTGGCTCAATTTTCAAATTCCAGCCGAGTTTCAAATTCCTAAATCAGCTACTTTCAAATTTCTAATATATATATAGTAAATATATTTGATTGATTCCTGATTAAGAATGACGGATAGTCTTACCATATCTTTACAACCATATATTTGTATATATATATATATATATATATATATATATATATTAAGTGTCTCTTATTCATGTTAGTCTGGTATCTGCTTGTGAGTTGTAAGTCTCATATGATTTGAGGCTCGAAATATATATATATATATATACTCGTATAAATTTTAAAATACATATTCAGATGAGATATATATATATATTAACATATGAATACAAATTTTTTTAAGAGATTGTATTTTAAAATTTATACGAGTCAATTAAGCAAGCATAGATTGTATAAAGCGATTATGGCAAGAATTAATACATGAATACAAAATCCATCATTACATTACCTTTTTTATACACAAACACCCAAATCATATCTCATTCAAACATTATAAATAAATAAGAAGCCAAAAAATCATTCAAATCTCTGAACCAACCAAGCCCACGACCATGGCTAGAAAAAAAGTCACCCTCGCCTACATCACCAACGACGCCACGCGCCGCGCCACCCTCAAGAAGCGCCGCCGCGGCCTTCTCAAAAAGGTCAACGAACTCTCCATCCTCTGCGGCGTCTCCGCCTGCGCCGTCGTCTATTCCCCGCAATCCGATCAGCCCGAAGTCTTCCCTTCCTCGGAAGAAGCGAAGCGAATCCTCACGGAGTTGGCCGACTTGCCGGAGATAGATAAGAACAAGAAAATGGTGAACCAACGAACGTTTCTGGAGCAGCGGCTGATGAAACTGAGCCAGCAGGCGCGTCGTCTGGAGCACGAGAACAAGGAGCTGAGCACGGCGGTTTGTCTCCGACAATGTCTGGCGGGGCGGTCGGTGGAGAGTTTGAGCAAGGAGGAGGCGGAGGATTTGCTGGATTTGGTGGACAGAAAGGCGAAGGCTTTGCAGGTGAGGATGCATCAGTTGGGGCCGTTGATGTTGCCGCCGGTGGTGGATGATGTGGATGTGAGGGAGATGGTTAGTTATGATGGGGCGGCGATCGAGGCGATGAGGCAGTATGAGTGGATTCAGGGGGGAGGTGGAGGGGTGGTGGGGGAGGAGGAGATGATGGGG